TACTTGTAATTCTTGAAAAAGTAAAACTTCCATGAACATTGAAAATTGAGAAATATATTGTCTCAGAGCGGGGGATTGTCCTCATCTTGCACGCCCCCATTCTTTAATTTTTATTATGCCCCCGTAATGGAAGATTTGGGGCATAATTATAGTTTTTGGTCTGTCCGTTAATCTGATTAAATCTGTTTGCCCGCAAAACCTTTAACCTTACTCATAACCTATGAATCGTTACCGTTAAGGCTTTTATATTTCACAAGTGTTTTCCTTGTAACAAGACCTTTCTTTGGGTACCAACATTTTTTACCTTGACCTATGACCTACTTTTGAAAAACTTTAACCTTGGCCTTATTTTTTGAACAGTTGGTGCTAGGGCTTTCACAAATCTCATTTGTATTTCTTGTGACAAGCCCTTTCTTTTGGTACCATTATATTTGACCTCATGACCTTGACCTTTTAGTTGACCTACAATTGGAAAAACCTTAACCTTGCCTATTATTTTTGAACTGATGGTGCTACGGATTTCATATTTTATGTATTCCGTATGACAAGACCTTTCCTTTAGTACAAATATTTTTTTTTACATCATGACCTTGGAGTATAACATACTTTTGTAAAACTTTAACCTTAACCATATTTTCTGAATGGTTGATGCTGAGGCTTTTATATATTTTGTATGTATATTTCTTGTGACTAGACCTTTCTTTGGGAACCAACCTTTTTGAACTCTTGACCTTGGGATTTTGCCTATATATTTAAACAATGATAACCTTGAGATGCCATACAGGGCATTGTGTTTCACAAACACATCTTGTTTTGCCTTAGTTTTAGAAAGTATATAAGACTACTAGAATAAGATTTTTCGAATAAAAATGCTGAAAGTTATATTTTCTATCCTTAAAACAACGGGTCCCTCTCATGCACATCCATATTGGGAGTGGAGAGGCATATGATTACTAGATATCTGAGAGGGGGTGTGGGCAGATTTTTCTTCTTATTTGGAAATATAAATACATGTATTAGTATTCCGTTCCTGAAAATTCATAATCTGGCAAGAATCGGACCTTGGCTGGTGGTACAATTGTGATGAAAAACACCTTTTTTAAAGTATATTTTTACTCACTGTCTTCATTTCTTCAACTTCAATCGATTGTTCCTAAAACTGTTTAAAAAAAAAGGTGTAATAGCAGAATTCAGTTTGCCGATATTACATGTATTAACCATGGCCATAAATGGAATCAAAATAATAGGAATGAGGACAATATATTAATGACGGAAATAAAATCAGGTATGGCTAGGTTGCAATTGGTTTGTTCAACATTTGTTGTAAATCTTTTAAAATCAAAATGCAACTTTTATAGAGTTTTAGTCCTATTTCAATAGAACTTGGTACACAATTTGATGACATGTACATAAGATACATATACTTCTGTACGTTTTTTTTTTAATTTGGATGATCGGTGATGACATTCTGACTAAAATTGGTATTTCTCCTAAAGTTAACATCTTAAGGTTCATTGATACTCCGATAAGAGAATTAACTCTCACTAGGATAAATGACTATCATTCCTTTTTGAAATTGTGAAGTAAAAATGCTATTTCTGACAAATTTTGCCCCCCCCCCCCCCCATGGTATGCTGATATGGTGTGCATTTCAAAAATCAATAATATTTCTTGGAAAATCACAAGCGTAAAGGGCAAAATCAAAATTTAATATGAGTGAACAGAGGGATGATGAACCTTAATTCAATATGACTTGGTACAAATAACAAGAGGCCCAGGGGCCACAACGCTCACCGAGTCATCTTGATCCTCTGTTCTTCTTCAGAGTTCTCCGTCTATATTCCCATGAGCAATTTTGATCCCATATTGTAGTCCCACTAAAACCCCAAAGCGTCTTGACTTAACCAAACTTGAATCCATAAGACAAGGCGATTCTGAATTTCAAATGACTAATGTGCCCTTGCAGTTTTGCAGGAGAAATTTTAAAGAATTTTCCCTATACAGAGAGAGAGAGAGAGAGAGAGAGAGAGAGAGAGATTTGTAAATGTGAATTTGTGGAAACCCAAGTAACCTATTACGTCTGTCTGTCAGTCTCTCCCACTTGGGCTTCCGCACGTTTTCCCAAAACGCTTGCGTGAATGTGTGAATGTATCTTGATGAGTTACAGATCAAGTTTGAATTTCGCTCCGCTTCAGTGATTTTTTTGACGGAATTACGGCATTTTCAATAGGAACCAGATTACACTAGCCGGTAGGGGGCTAGTATTGCTAATGCAATACTCTCAGAATGCTTGTTGACTCTGAGAACAAAAGGTCAAATGCCAAGGTCAGAAATTCATACCTTGCAAATAACAATTTCAGTTTTTTAAATGTTTTTTTCAACGAAATTTAATATCACAATTCCCTATGGAGGTCAAAAGGTCAAAGGTCAGAGATTTGCAATAAATAGTTTCCATATAATAACTTTAAGTTTTCTCTGAGCTTTTTCTATGAAGTTTAATTTATCAAACTCATAATGACTTTAAAAAAATCCTATTTTCATTCAATTCAAAAGGTCAGAAATTTATACAATACAAAAATGGTTTCTGTGTAATGACTTTAGTTTTCACTGAGCTTTTTCTATGAAATTTTAAAAAATATCGTAACTCCCAATGATTTAAAGAAGACCCCTTTTGTTGAAAAAATCTTATCTTGCATTAAATGGTTTCCTGGTGATTTCTAGTTGTCTTTGGGGTTTTGCAATGAAATTTTTATACCTTTGGCCAATATGTCATAAAAAGACTCCTACTGATTTTGAGGTCAAGGACCAAGGTCAAAAAATTTTATATTGCATACATAATTTTCTGATGTTAACTTTAGTTCTCTGTAACCTTTTGCAATGAAACTTATGGTCAGGAATATCTTTTACATAAAAAAGACCTCTATTTACTTTAAGGCCAAGAGCTAAGAAGTCAAGGTTGACAATTTTATTTCTTTCCCCATCTGCATATTTTTTCTGTGTTTCTTCTAGCTCTTTTTTTTCTAAAGTGTGGGACACAAATCTCTAAATTAGCTTGTTTCCTACTGTGTTTACCTACATTAATATGTCAACTTTTCTCAACATGAGAAAATACTCAAATACATGTATTACATCTTGTCATAAAAAAATACTGATGTTTCTGGTATTTTCTAATAAGTCAAACACAGAGTTTTGGACTAAGATGTAACCCCCCCCCCCCACACACATACAAACTCATATGTGAGGGTATATTTTTTACAAGATCAACAAGAGGCCCATGGGCCACAATGCTTACCTGAGTAACTTTGGCCTTGCTGTTTTTCACCAGACTTTCCCCCATGTAATACCTATTGTGGCCCCATCCTATCCCCAGGGGTCATGATTTTAACAATTTGTAATCTACACTATTCCAGGATGCTTCCACATGAATTTCAGTATTTCTGGCCCGTTGGTTCTTGAAAATGATTTTTCGTATATATTTCAATGTAAAAATTAAATTCCCTATTGTGCCCCCCCTCCCCTTACCCCCTGAGGTCATGATTTTAACAATTTAGAATCTACACAATCCCAGGATGCTTCAACAAAAGTTTCAGCTTTTCTGGCCCGGTAGTTCTTGAGAAAAAGATTTTTTCTATATATTTCAATGTAAAACTTGGATTCCCTATTGTGACCCCCCTCCCTTACCCCCAGGGGTCATGATTTTGACAATTCAGAATTTCCACTACCCCAGGATGTTTCCACATAAGTTTCAGCTTTTCTGGCCCAGTGGTTCTTGAGATTTTTTCTATATATTTCAATGAAAAACTTGGATTCCCTATTGTGGCCCTGCCCTACACCTGAAGGTCATGATTTTAACAATTTAGAATCTACACTACCCCAGGATGTTTCCACATAAGTTTCAGCTTTTCTGGCCCAGTGGTTCTTGAGAAGAAGATTTCTAAATATTTTTTCTATATATTTCAATGAAAAACTTGGATTCCCTATTGTGGCCCCGCCCTACCCCCAGGGGTCATGATTTGAACAATTTAGAATCTACACTACCCCAGGATGCTTCCACATAAGTTTCAGCTTTTCTGGCTCAGTGGTTCTTGAGAAGAAGATTTTTTAATGACCCCACCCTATTTTTGCCTTTTCTTGATTATCTCCCCTTGTAAGGAGGCTTGGCCCTTGATTTAAACAATTTAGCTTCTTCTTCACCTATGAATGCTTTGTATCAACTTTGGTTAAAATTGGCCTTGTGGTTCTTGAGAAGAAGTTGAAAATGTGAAAAGTTTACAGACGGACGGACAGCTGGATGGACGGACGATGGACAACGGGTGATCAGAAAAGCTCACTTGAGCTTTCAGCTCAGGTGAGCTAAAAAAGCCTAGCAAAGAAAATTTAACTGTCAACCCAGAAACACAATTTTTTTTTTGGCTTTTTTGGCTTAATTAATGTAGGCTTTAGAATTGGAGTTTTTTGCTAACCACTGCTCCAAGTGGAGTTTACCTACAATTACAGCATTTCTTGCATTAAGCAAGTTCACTTTGCTGGAGAGAAAATTGTAATCAGTAATTTGTAATCACTGCATTTCCTATATATGTCCAAAGGCTTTCAAATAACATCCTTAAAGACTTTAATAAAGTTGTTTTTTAAATACAATGATTTCATATTTAGAGCACAGAACAAACTAACAATGGGTTTTTTAGCTTTTGTTTATGCAATAACTAATGATCAAAAACAGAGGAACCCGTGTATTTCCTACCGACCGACCAAACACAATGTACATATACAACTAATGAAGTACAAAGTTTGTATACGACAAAACTTAAATACATTTTAACATTTGTCAAAGATCATCAATTGTTAAAATGAGAAAATCACTTACATGTATATTGATCACAAATGAATACATACAATGCTATTATGGATTCTGATATCTGAAAAAGGTCCTGTGACAAATAGAAAAATATTAAACAGAAAATCAATGAACAAACTGCCAGATTTACTGTACATATGGTACATGTATATAATTAAAATGTAGCTCTAGTGCTTTAAATAGGTCTATTTATTACCTAATAAACAATTTATACATTCTAAATAACAAAGCACTATCAATTTTTAAAATATTGCAAAACTTTAAAAGAAAAAAGTAGCAGCTACTTCAGTTCATAAATCAGTATGCTCAATAATTCTCATTTAAAAGTCTAGTGACAAGACATACACATAAAAACATCATGCAGATATACATGTTAACAGTATGAAATATGCTTGAAATACAGGTAAAAGGTCAAGCTAAAAGTTAAAGAGCTAGGAGTTTCAAAAGGTCACGTGACAAACATTTTATACAAAAGCCCCATCATTGTAATTAAAAATATAGACAGCAATTTGATTTTGCATGAATTCAAAGACACAGAACATTACTACCAATATTTCATTAGGATATTATAACAAGCAGTAGGCTTACTAAAATCCACAACTTCTGATCAATCAAAGATAGTGGATACATTTAAAGGGACATATCAAAGTTTCTTGTCGGATTTTTACTGGAAATTTTTATGCAATGATTTCACAAAAATACTTTTTGTAAAAATAAATCAAAAAGAAATAAAAGTCAATTAAATACAAATGAATTCTTGAATCAAACATTTCTTTTAAAGAAACTTGGATCTGAAATACCCTTTTAAAATCAAATGAACCTGAATATATTTATTCTTAATCAATAATTTTAAGGTTTGTGTACATGATTTTATCCTTGCACGTACAAATACCATCAGACATAAATGAGTAGACAATAACACTAACGAGTGAAAACATTCGACCACAGCATCCATCCAATATACTGCATTTCAGAATTACCGATTTTCTACAGTCTGCCAAAAATTTACCACTGATGTGAATTCACAAAATTTAGAAACTGTAAATTAATATACAGCATTTTAACCCAAATTTGCAGAAATATATTGATGAAAAGATTTCCAAATTTACTGCAAGGACATGATTCAAGTCAGGTTCCTAAATCTTAACGGTCAAAAGATAACAAGTGTGACAAGGACACAGGAACAGATGAACAGCTAGAGCTATAGAATAATCCTTCCATCTCTTCTGAACAATCTGTTTTTTGGCATCAATCTTTGATTAATTTGTTTTCATTTCTTCTGACTGATTCAGTCTTTCTTCACTTCCTGTTTCCTCCCTTGACTTCTTCACTTCCTGTTTCATCCCTTTGTGATTTTTCAGTCTCTTTCAATTTCTCCTCCAGTCTCTCTGTCATATGATCTAGAACTCCCTAAAGCCAGGAAAATATGTCAAATATAAGAAATGTATAACAAAACAAGAGGCCCATGGGCCACAACGCTCACCTGAATAACTTTGGCCCTGCTGTTCTTCACCAGATGATCTTTTTGTAATACCTATTGTGGCCCCGCCCTACCCACAGGGATCATGATTTTAACAGTTTAAAATCTACACTACCCTAGGATGTTTCCATATAAGTTTCAGCTTTACTGGCCAAGAGGTTCTTGAGGAGAAAATTTTTAAAGATTTTTCCTATATATTTCAATGTAAAACTTGGATTCCCTATTGTGGCCCCGCCCTACACCCAGGGGTCAAGATTTGAATTCTTTAGAATTTATGCTGCCCCAGGATGCTTCTACAAAAGTCTTCGCTTTTCTGACCAAGTGGTTCTTGAGAAGAAGATTTTTTTTTCTATATATTTCAATATAAAAATTGGATTTCCTATTGTGGCCGCGCCCTGCCCCCAGGGGTCATGATTTTAACAATTTAGAATCTACACTACCCAAGGATGCTTCCACATAAGTTTCAGCTTTTCTGGCCTAATGGTTCTTGAGAAGAAGATTTTTAAAGATTTTTTTCTATATATTTCAATGTAAAACTTGGATTCCCTATTGTGGCCCCGCCCTTCCCCCGGGGGGTCATGATTTTTACAATTTAGAATCTACACTACCCCAGGATGCTTTCACATAAGTTTCAGCTTTTCTGGCCCAGTGGTTCTTGAGAAGAAGATTTTTAAAGATTTTTTTCTATATATTTCAATGTAAAACTTGGATTCCCTCTTGTGGCCCTGCCCTACCCCCGGGGGTCATGATTTGAACAATTTAAAATCTACACTACCCCAGGATGCTTCCACATAAGTTTCAGCTTTTCTGGCCCAGTGGTTCTTGAGAAGAAGATTTTTAAAGATTTTTCCTATATATTTCTATGTAAAACATTGATTCCACATTGTGGCCCGGCCCTACCCCCGGGGGTCATGATTTGAACAATTTAGAATCTACACTACCCCAGGATGCTTCCATATAAGTTTCAGCTTTACTGGCCCTGTGGTTCTTGAGAAGAAGATTTTTTAATGACCCCACCCTATTTTTGTCTTCTCTTGATTATCTCCCCTTGTGAGGGGACTTGGCCCTTCATTTTAACAATTTAAATTCCCCTTCACCCAAGGATGCTTTGTACCAAGTTTGGTCAAAATTGGCCCAGTGGTTCTTGAGAAGAAGTCAAAAATGTGAAAAGTTTACAGACGGACGGACAGACAGCTAGACAGACAGACGGACGGATGGACGACGGACAAAATGTGATCAGAAAAAGGATGCCAATGTATCTACTGTAAGGTTGAAAACAATGGTTCAGCAGCAAGCAGAAAAACTTATTAAAATTTGAAATATTTTATTTTGTTGCAAAATACCCTTTTTCCATATCTCATGGACTTTTTTGTTTGCTAGTTTTTGTGAATATAAAACCATTTTGCTATGGATGCCATCACTGTACTTGAAAGTGTAAACTTGATAATTTTAAACTATTGTAAACAAAAGCTAGATTGATTCTCATAATTCTTAGTCATTCAAAGTTGCTTCAAAGAGGATACATTAATTCTATCCATTCACAGCTATTGAAAACCCATGAATAAAAAGCCCCCAATTCACATCATCTTAAACCCCATTTTCTTTTCACTACTAATACAAAGAATGAAATCACTTTAAGGATTTAACATATTGAATTACCTCAATTCTCTCTTTGTGGTCAATCATCTTGGACAAGGCATTTTTCAAGAAGGTTTCATACAATTGTCCATCATATTCCATTGATCTTATTTTGCTCTCCACACTGGAACATATAACAATATGGCTATTTTATTCCATACAATTTACATTCATGAACATCTGAAGTTCAGAATCTAGGATACTGACAAAACGAAAACCAAGGATAGGTAAATGTCAATCTACAGTCCCAGATGTGTTATGACTTTGAGTCTCAACTATGTCTCAGTTCAATAAATACAATAAATGTTGAAATTTTCTTCTGTCCTACAGAGAGTTTACTGAACTAAAGTATCAAATCCTTATGAAAAATACTGTAACCTTATTTTGTGAACTTGTTTTTTAGACAGTTGTGTATATATGATTGTTAAAGTTTTAAAATCCTACAGAATTGCTTCATATACATGTTAAAAAAAAAAAAAAAAAAAAAAAAAAAAATTATCTCTAGTTATTACATGTGTGAGGAAAAAAAATACTATTGCACATTATGATCATCCTACACTAGTGAATTGATTTTATGCTTTGCATTATTCATGTTATGAAAATAATTCATAAACAGGAATGCAGTATAAGGATGATAATATCACTATAACAAACTAAAGAATGTGGTTCATTTGATATGGATTTGGCAGCAATGAAAAGTTCATTGATATTTTAAGCCCACCAAAATGTCTGCTTGACTGGACAATTTACCACTGAAAAATTCATTCATACGATTCCTGCAGAGTAGAAGTTAAATACCGCATCTTCTTTGTTCTAACCTTTTCTGAGTGTCTCTCAATTCTTTCTGTCCATCGGCTAATGTTTTATTTGAGGAGAATTTCATCTGAGATAACTCCTTTTCCAGACTCTCCTTTTCTTCTTGTAGTTTTTGGAACTCTTTTTGGTGTACCTACATTGCAATGTAAAACAAATAATTTCAAAAAACCTTTATTTGGATTTTAATTTCTGTGGTACATGTCCTTTTTTTCTTGTCACTTGGTCTTGGCATTTCCACCTTAGACTTTCAAAATTTTTTTTTCAGTATTTCCTAGTCATCTGATCTTGGCCCTATGAGTACATTGCTATCTTAGACTTTTACAGTATTTCAATATTTTTATATACTGTAGCATAATTAACATCTGAAAGATCTTTGTTCTAATATATCATTTGTTTAATACAAATTCATTATATTTTTGAGGCAAATAACTGTCAATATACAAACACTCTGATTGAAAAAATACTAATATTAACAAATATGACGTAAATTATGTAAAATAAGTAATTATACACATGGATTTCTGCAATTATCACTTACATGCACATCATACACATGCATGTACATGTAAGTACATTTCTATAACTGACCTGCTTTTTGAACTCGATGTCTTCTTCTAATCGCTTTAACTGGCTCTCTTTTAATTTCTGTTCATTTTCTAAATCCAAACAATCAGCAACACACTACAAATTAAACGTATTATAAGCTTTAAATAATTCTCTTTTTGGTGAGTGATGCTTCTCACAAAATCACCCAGTAATAAATTCTTTGCATATAACTAGGAATCTTCAGTGTGGTCTTCTTATAAGCCTAGCAAATCACATTGACAAATTGCAGGGATTTATCAGCCTATTTTGGGAAATGTCATTTTTGGGAAATTGGGAAAAAATTATTGGCTATTTGATGAAATTGGGAAAAATTAAAAATGTTGCTTAAATCATGTATTCAGGTGTTATTCATTTAACATTTCAGCATGAACTTTAATTTGGGTTATCAAACAGACAATTAAATATGATCCAACTTCATCATACAAGAATTATGAATAATAGACTAATAAAAGAAAATGGACTTCAATGAGTAAAAAGTATGTATACAACTTAGGGTAGTACATGTGTACAGTGGCTGCAACGTTATTGTTGACAACTTACACGAACGATCACGTTACACGAACGATTCCGCACGATTAACGCACGATAAAACCTGTTACACGAACGATCCCTCACGCACACGATTCTACACGTTACACGATCTTACACGATTGCTAACGCAAACGCACGATTCTTCACGCAAAATAGTTCAAATTCTTTAGGAATGTATATTTTCAAAACGAAATAAGCCTTGATATTTATTTTAGATTTCAAATAACTATTGATATTATTTCATCGACTTTGAAAAATAATAGAAAAAATAGAAATGGATATTTCTGAAACGAAATACATTAGATAACAAATAATTATTTACGTAATTCTCCGACTTAAGAAAACTTTTTTCCCCTTCTATCAGAAGATGTACATGTAGGTGGACCGTGAGTTTTGATTGAATTAGATTTCATAATATGCAGAAAGGTATAAGTCTGAAAAAAATTGGCATAAAAATGAATTAAATTATAAGTTTAATCCATGTTTCCATTTGTGAATCTCTAAAATCAACAATTATTTTACAAATCATTTATTTGCAGAAATTATAAAAATAGTTAAAAGTAAGCTCCAGAGATAAACACTGATAAACGAAACCCCGACAATCATGTCGTGTACATGTACATTCGCGGACTAAATATTTATGTAAGCGTAGAGAATTGTTTATTTATTTATTTGTAAAAAATATTTATTTTTGATTTATTGATTTTAAAAATATCTTGACCATAATTAGCAGTAAACATAATTAACATCAAAGAAAAAATCCTTAAACATCTAAGTACGGTTTATCACAAAAAGTCACGCGATTTGACGAGAACACAATATTGTACGACTTGCTATATTGCTTATTTCCAAGCGATAATTAGTTCGTTCTGCTTTCAATTATGTAAATCGCGTTTCATTCATTTTATTTGGATTGAAAAAAATTAAGATAAGCGAAATGCTTGTATAATAAATAATATTCCGATAAAAACTTACAAAACGAAATTTACACGTTTCTTAACGCACGATCACGCACGATTAAAACCGCAAACGATTGAGTCTGATACACGCACGATCTCGCACGTTACACGAACGATCACGCACGTTACACGAACGATTCTACACGATTGGTTTGTCAACAATAACGTTGCAGCCACTGTATATGAGATTCCGATTTAGGTCATTATAGAATCTGTTTCTGGAGATTATAAACCTCCTGCAAAAACTATATTAAGTACACAAGTTCTCAAAGTCCTCTTTTAAGAAGTATTAATGCATTGAAATATATTTTTCTATCTGAAATAATGCCTACAGTCCTTACCATTCACTTGTAGATGAGTAGGTGGAAATAACTTAATAAATCTATATAATTACACAATATCACCGTTTTCAGAAAAACGGAGGAAATTCGGATTAAAAGTTGGCAATGTTTTTACAGTGTTTTTAAACATGCGTTATGACTGTAGCTTTGCTAAACGAGTTAAATAGATGAAAATTACAGACAATCTGACAATTTTACTTTGTATTTTTCCAAGATAATTAAATATAAAAGCATTGTTCACCAATTGGGAAAAAATGCTGCCAAATTGGGAAAAACTGAACTCATTTTCAATTGGGAATGGGGCCGAATTTCGGCCCCTGAGAAGGTACTGATAAATCCCTGAATTGGATGGCTCGAAACATGAAACTGTATTAGTAGTTAAGATGAAAGTTGAGTTTGTACTCAGACAGACAAAGAACATTGTGTCTTTTTTTTAACCAGATGAAAACTGCATGTAGAAGCAATGACTACCTAACATTATCATTCTGTCCACCATTATATCTATTAGGTACAAAGGACAATGATTATTTTCAGAATTAAACATTGTTTGAGTTGCAAAGTAAGCAGATTTTTTTTTATAAAACACAATCATAGCCTTCAATACTATAAAATCTGTGAAGTATTTTACCTGATCATAGATGTCCTTTTCACCCATCAGCTCCTTTGACTTCTCATGCATCCTTTCAGCCCACTGTTCTTTCAAGGAATGCAGAGCAGGCTATAAATAGAGGCATCTATCAGTTGAGCACAGAAAGAAAGGTTCCACACATTAAACACCCATACTTTCTCATTGAAGTTTACCATTCTTCAAAATATGGATAAAACAGATCTTTGATACTGAATATACTGAAGTGTGCTAGCTTATTAACCTAATGAGATTGGAAGAAGTATAAAATGTTGAAATTGAGACCTGGTCATTATAAGGCCAGGAAAGACAAATAATTTTGAAATCTTAGTGCTAATGTGTGAATAAATTCATTTACATCCTATCTAGCCTGTCACACAAGATTTGATTGGTAAGCAAGCCGGTTGTAAATTTCTGTACACCTGGCTGGAGCCTGGGGTAAATAATGTGATGTCAAAATGCACAGATTCTCTATCACAAAAACTAAATAACATGACGTCACGATGCCTTGTTGCTCGTTGTACATGTAAATCTTATTGATAGTTTGAAACATCATTCATTGGACTTTGGTTTACAAAGAATTTATTTAGTTACATAGAAAATAATAAATTTGTTATCCAGGTCCAATGAAGGGTGTACAGAGATTTACATCCTGAGGCCAAAGGCAGAAGGGTGTATAGAATACAGCCTAGCATAAATTCCTGTACACCATTGATTGGACCAGGATATCTAATAAAATATAGTCTCTGTTTCTTGAAATTTAACACAAATTTGGATAAATCATGAAAGATAGGACAAAATTTTGGAAATAATAGGAATTTTTTCAAAGACCTATCTAGCATTCAGTTTGATACCTTGACAACTTCAGTGAATTTATCCCGAGCACTGTAAGAGGGAGATAACTCATAGTCCACACCACAAGCATATTGTGCTGTAGATGGCAGAAGCTTTAACCGCTGGGCCAAATCATTGTACTGATTACAAGAGGATTCCACCTACAATAAAAACAAACACAGCAACTGATTTACTCTCATCTAAAGTAGCTTCAAATGATCAATTTGCACACAGTGCCTACGTGTACATGGGAGATTAATTTTCTTTGATTTTGTGATATGAAGAGACCCACAAATTCACACCCCCTACAAAGATTAAAATTTTGTAATACAGTATAGTGGTTTGCCTTTCCCCTCAAACCAGTAACTTGTCCTTAAACCATGAAAATGTGACCCCTCAAAAATAAGTAATTTTACAGTATAACACCTCAAATAAAAGCAAGCCCACTTGCTACACAGTAAAGATAAATCCAAATTAAAAATATCAGGGACATCTTTTAAAGTTAAACATTTCATTTTAAATGTGCCCATGGCCCATAGGCATAGATCTAATATACCATAGAAATAAAAAAGTAAAGAACTTCTTTAATCCCCTCAAACTCAACAAATATAAGTAATCCCTTGACTGCTATCTTGTTTCAAATCATTCAATAACTGACCATTTCTAACATTTTAGATGCCTTCATCTCCTCTGACCAGATCTCCTGGTCAATGTTGGCCACTCTGACCTCCACGTCATCAATCTGACGTAGCATGTCCTTCCTGTTGATCTTAATTCGTTCTATATCTTCGGGACTGAATTCCTGGGACTCAAAGATTAACTGCTTCTCTTGATTTTTGGCCTTGATGTTATTCAAATCAGCAACTGCAAAAAACCCCAGCTATCTATGTTTTTACTGGCATTTTAAACACAAAAGAAATGAGCAGATTTCACTGGGATAAAAACAGTATTCATTGATAATTTGCATTTTACAAAAATGAAAAAAGCTTTAAGAAAGAAAGAAAGAGAAGGCGATATCAATACCAAGAGTTTCTAACTCTTCATCCAAACTCTGTATGTTCTTTTCCTGGCTTTCTACATAATCATCTAGTTCACTCAGGTATTTGACCATTTTCTCATCGTTTTCTTTTGCATTGACCTCCTCTTCTCGCATTCTTTTGAGTTTTTCCTGTAATAATATGTTCTTGCTGTACAGTATTCTGTATCTGATCAAATATTTGAAAGAGAGAGAGAGAGCAATTCAGAAAATTAAATTCTCCTGCAAATTACTTGTAACTATACCTGAGACTCTAGGATTTCTTGTTCCAGACTTTCTAACTCTTTTTCCAATCGCTTATTCTCATCATCTAAGTTTTCTAGGCCACCACTTATGCCATAAAGTTTTTGATCTGAGATTAAAAAAAATAAAATCTTCAGTCCCCTAAAAGTGATATATATAGTGTTAGGTGCCATTGTATATATTCTGTAAACTGCAGGTAATCTTGATTTATCCTTGAGATTTGTGGCTGCCTTTCATTTGTCTTGAAAAAAAGTTAAAAATAAGAAAAGTTAACAGATAAAAGACACATGGATGAACAGACAACAAATAAACTTTGATAATAATTACTCATTTAAGCCTTTGGCTCAGGTGAGCTAAACAGCTGATGTATGTATGGCCAGATTACAAAGCATTGGCTGATAAAATCATGATTGATTTTGTCACTGCATGACTGACTGCTCAAATAGAAAGCAAGTTCAGTAGTGTGCATCCTTAGATGTACCATCCAAGCAAGTTTGGTCATTATAGGGCTTATAGTTATTTGGAAATGAGACCTGCTCCAAAAACTTTAACCTGCTCCAAAAACATTAACCTGGTCATTCTTTAGCTGAAATTGCAGCATCTGAAACACACTAGAAGCATCCTCCATGCATCTCTGACTAATATAGGCCATAGAAGTACTTGAAAAGAAAACTGCTCCAAAAACCTTAACCTGGGACGCCAACACCGACGCTGAGGGTATTACATAAGCTCCCCCAACTTCGTTGAGGTGAGCTAAAAATGCAATACAGATAAACTTTGGTATCTTAAACATCAATATACAGTATCTAATATCATGGATATGTTGAAGTGTGTTGCAAATTCCAACCACTTTTTGCTAAAAATGCAATACAGATAAACTTTGGTATCTTAAACATCAATATACAGTATCTAATATCATGGATATGTTGAAGTGTGTTGCAAATTCCATCCACTTTTTCTTTTTGTATTTTAACCGAAACCAATATCTAAAATTCTCAGGTATCTGAAAGGTTTTCTCAGCCCCGTTTGAGATAACAAGGTTTTACTATATACTTTCAGGAATTGGGAAAATACAATGAAATTTCTTACTTAGATGATTAGAAAGATGTTCGTCATAATCTTCAAATGTATCATACCCCTCCATGTAGGCAGCATATGTTTTCTCAACATAATCAAACAAAATCTAAAGACAAAAGAGTTAAGTCAGTGAAACTTTGGTTCACATTACACAAGTTATGGAATAAATCCTGTTTAATTAAACAGCGTCTGAATTCAATTTCTGTCTCTTAAACTTTATTTGATAATTTTTCTCTCTCTTCATCTTGAACATGGATTTCTTTGCAATTTAATAATTATTATATGCAAATAAATGATGCCCTTTTCATTCCATAAGAGGAAAAATTAACTTACAAGAAAATTATAAAAATTATTCAAGTGTAAACGATACATTATAAATGCAAAATGGAAAGATAATCATGTAAAATGTAGATGAAATAAAGGGTCAAGTCTAAATGTATAAACCTGTGATTCTGGTAAGGAATCAAACTCGTCTTCATTTGGTGGGAAGAGGTAACTATCAATGGACATTCCAACCTGCATACCAAACTGAAAACAAATCACAAAATAAATATCAGTCTATAGTTTGTATCATAGAATGGAGCAAATAGCTCACCTACTGCAAGTCATTGTTTCTCTTTTTAACAAATTAATACACTTCAGTGTGTAGATCAATGAAATCCTTTACTGTAGTCTGACACCAGATTAAAGGCCTTTATGAAATTAACAGTATATTAAGGGTTAAAGTCAATTTTATATACTCTGACATTCTATCTAATTCTGTTTAAAACTTTTCCTGATATATGGCCCACCACCGTGCTTTGAACAATCTTGAAACTGCATAATGTACATGTATATGCACATGTAGGTTAAGGCTGCTCTTTCTAACATGTGCAAAAAAAATATACAGTAAAACTCATTTAGTAAATACAGATATTGGGAATTTACGGATATAGCGTCGTTTTTTGTAATTCCTGGCCAAATTCATAACAATTCCTTGTAAAATTTTATGGATATAACAAGCTTGGATATAGCAAATTTATGATTATATCAAACTGATTTTGCATCCCCTAGAAGTTAAAAATAACAAAATTTACATCTTTTATAGCGAATTTTCAAAGATCTAAATTTTTAAAATATTGAACTGACATAAATTTTGTAAGGTTTTGTATTTGAAACTCAATCCATCCAAAAACTTTTGATCTCTAAGGTAAATTTTGTATTTTATACGTCCTGAAATACATTTCGTAGTCATACTTGAATGAAAAAATCTTCATTGTGCATTTGCTATGTATTCTTTATGAAATTCGTTAAACAGATATAATGAATTACGAATATAGCAAAGTAAATTCCCAGGTCCCCTAAAACCGAATTCGCTAAAACCGAATTTTACTTTATTTATATATAAATGCATGGTTTTAGATTCAGATTTTTTAAAATCAGTTAAAGCTTCTCTTCCAAAAAATTTACTTGTACATCCATTTCAAGAGGAAAATAACTGTGATACCTTAATTAAGTCCACCATCCACACAAGAGCTGCCAGGATCGTGGGCCAAGTGTGAGGTGAACCAAGAGCAAACATGGCCGTCTTGGAGATCATAAAAGGATAGCCTAGTTCCTTGAAGATTTTTGGAATTTCTTCCTCTGGTTTTTTCCCTATCCTGTATCTTGGTGTTAACATACTGTAGAGGAACTAAATAATATTGCTTGTATTAGTTGAACTTCACTTGTGAGTTAATTGAATTCAGAAAGTTTTTCTTAGGGCATCTATCTTCAATTGATACCGGTAATTTTATGTGCCAGCTTACAACAGGGGAAAAAAAAAATAAAAGAAAATTCAAGCATACTTTTGTAAGAGGAACTCAGGATAATATTGTGAATGATTTTTATTCTTATATTCAAATCAATTTAATTTCACTACCATGTAAGTTATCTTAAATTATTTATATGATACATATATAAAAGTGTATATTAACATTATTTAGTATTTAAAAGTTTAAAAGATATATGACTGCAGTATTGTTTTTTCTTAAATTCTTTGTCTCGATTTCACCTTTGTATAATACACTGATACATGTAGTTGTATTTGCTAATATATCTGGATCCCATCAAACAGTCTCAAATTCATTTTCTCATTCACAATAGCTGGCAACAAATGTAAGATTTACAGAGAAATAAACACTAAATAAATCTGAAAAGTACATGTTATGATGTAGGTAGACTGCTTTTAAAATGTACATGTAGACTGTAGATGATTGTGAAAGTGTAATGTGCAGATAAAATACATAATTATGTAGTTTACCATTACTTTATCATACTGATCACCAGCTTAGGAAATGTAAAATAAAATGTAAAAAGCCACAAAATAAGAATGCAGTGTAATACATGTATTATTATATTTTACTGTAATAGGGTGAGTTAACCATGCATCAGACACATACCTTGCTTCGGACAACTTTAAGCAATAAACTTTCTTTAAACCTGAATGTTCCTGTGTTTTAACTTGTTTCTGTCTTGAAGCTGAAGATTTAAACTTTTTATTGATGCCAATTTTTTTTATTGTGTTGTGATTAAAATAACCCGAGAATGGCCTTGAAGTTACGTCATATTTTACATCATCAAAGGGGAGTTACCAGAATTTTATGATTTTGCAACATTTTAGAGTTGTCGTTCTTTTAATTAGACTTCAATGGAACGAGTCGGACTTAGGTGAAATTTGTCAATGATTGGTAATTTTACAGAACTTTTAAAGAAATTTCACTACAATGTTTGTATATTTTTTTTTAGAGTTGATTTTTACTAGTATTTTCATTTCACTGTACATCGGACACAAATTAACCATGCACTGGACACTTTCCAATGCATGGGTAATCACTTCCATTTTCATATTAATCCCAACTGACAGCTGTTTTTTGTGGAAACAGAAAATAAAAACTCTAAACTTTCAGGGAAAATACAAGTTATCGATATACATGTATGACGTTTACAATTAGACTCAATTTATTTCTACAAACCAGAGTATAATAACCCATGAGACAAAGGTGCGAATTGACGTATAATTAGCATTTTAAAGCCTTTCTAAGGCAATGTAAGGCAACTAAAATCTCTCCACATTTGTGCAGTGATATCGTCTATTAAATTTAAGTTGAAGGTTAATCTTTAAATAAAAGATAAAAGTATTTCCATATCAATAATTTTAAAGCACCGTGATAAAGGTAGGAATTTTTTCCGGTTCAAATACTGTTTGTCTGATGCATGGAAATATTGTCCGATCCATGGTGAATTCTGAGTCATATGAAAAAATTCCGTTTTTAGTTATATTTTCTCAATAAATAGCATACAATTGTGTCTCAAATTCATATTTTAATCACATACTAAATGTTAAGTTCTATTTTGATAGTATTTTGTCGATAGCAATATCGCTAGACCTTGTTGAAGTACAAGGGTGTCTGATGCATGGTAAATTCACCCTATATTGATAAACAAAATAGTAGTAACACCAAAAATAAGAAGAAAAAATACCTCAAATATATGAAAGAAATCTTTTCTTGGAGGAGCTTTGAGAATCTCTGGAGATAATTTGTGAGGATATCCTTTTTCTGATAAAAACTGAAATAAATCAATTGATATAAATTACAGGATTGTCCCTAAAAATTGAAATAAAGGCACATTTAAAAAGGAGAAGGGGATCTGGGATTCCTCCCCTTATGAGGAATTTAGGAAGAATACCAAAATAACCAGGGATTACATCATTATAGGGGGAAAATTCCCTGGTCCCTGGGTCTTAGAGACAACCCTAAATAATCACTGTTTCAATTATCAATGCACATTATGACACATATTTATAAGAAATCTATCAATACTTACTATGATAGTACACCCAATTTTCCCACTGATATGTTATATACTGTAGATTCCTAAATATACGCGAGGAATAAAATATGGCGTATTTACGCGAGAAGCATCACTCGCGAAATAAAATTACTCGCTTTTATTTTCATAGTGCTTTAATGTATGTAAAATCTCTAGATAAATCAACGATTCGCGAATTTTTGTTCTCGCAATTTGACGCCCTTGGGCCATTTCGCGATATTAAGTACTCGCGTAAAATAAGGAATCTACGGTATTTCTTTAAAAAACATTGGCAACGGGAACTGACTTCAAGACATGTAGCTTTGCTTGAATTTTGATCATTATATTTTAACACAATACATTACCTCTACTAGCTTTGCAACACATTTGGCTTGAAAGTTTCTGTCAGAAATTTTCCTGGGATCTTTTGGTATGCCATTCACCATTGGAACCCCCATGTGACTGCTTCTCCTCATCCTACAGAGATGTTCAGCGAAATTCATTCCCTTTAGCCTTATACATAGTATTGATTTTAAAAGTATAAATTGGTTTCCTTTCCAATGCACCAAGCATCAACAAACATATCATGTATCAATCTTATTTAAAAGTCAAGATAACAAGTTAAAACTTAATAAAAATATTAAAATATTTTCTTAAATCAGTCATTTTGAAATTAAAAATTAGGAGGTACCCTTTGTTAGGGGTCTTGGTTGGCCGATCACCAGTAGAACTTCCACTATATCCATATCCAGTGAGCTTAGTTTTCTTAGAGGAGGTTGTGATCTTTGAGTTATCCTCATTTCTCACCCTTAGTGGACCAGCACCTCCCACAGAAGGGCGTCCACCTACAGAGGACCTGGAGGCAGAGGATGTTCGCTTGCTAGCACTGCTATAGTGAGAGGTGGACGATCGTCCCAGAGAGGAGGACCTCCGCATGACAGCTGGAATATACAAGAGTTAAGGTTCCTGTTCATGGTCTCTCTCTACTGTGACTTGATTTGAACCTCTGCTCTCCAATCAAACTGTTATACCATAAGCATGATCTATATTTTTTTTTTACACAGACAGTGTGATCCATCTGTGACATAATCCAAATATGCAGAAACTGGTCTTAAAATCTGCATAAAATGGAAACTTTATTACTTTACAGATGATATATTCCGAAAAACACATTAATTCATATCATGACACAGGTCCATTGCAATCAGTACATATAGCTACGTAGCTAGAATTACCTACCGTAGCTCTATTTAGCTATTTCAATGCAGCTTTTCATAATTTCGCTTTTTATTTTAAAAAGACAAAAAAATCGCAAGTACATTACTACTAATATTTATACTAGGGATTTTTAAAAAAGCAATTCAAAGCAGAGTGCTGTGTCTGAACACTTTTAAACAATAGATGTATTTTCATTGTTTGAGTGACTGTACACCACTCTGTGTGCAATGAGGCATGGATAAGTATGATTACTTCACATTGCCAATCAATTATCATGTTAACCAGAACTGGTTAATTTCATTCAAGAAGTAACTGTTAGGTTACAAATTAACTCTCGTATATGGCCCCAAAACTTTAAGAACTTTGACTGCAATTGCGCAGAAAAAGACACATTTTCAAGGGTGACTTTTTCATGAACTGTTTTCAGATGATTGTAAAGTTGAAAGTTAACTCTGCATGAAAGTGCGATTTTCTGCACATCCCGAGAAAAATGCTAATTTAAGAAATGTTTGATCTGGTAGATAAAGAAAGCTACTCCAGGAAGGTGAAAAAGCTATGTAGGTAATCCAAGCTACACCTAGTGATTGTACCAGACCAGATGACATGTACGTAAAAAAAAAAATCAATGAAAAATATTTTTGGGGATTGTCATAAAATTGATACAGTTTGTCTATTTTGATTTTAACTTTTTTTCCTCATGAGCTAGGAGGAAAATATTAAAAAAAAAATGGTACAGTATTTAATAAGCAGATGTTAACTGACCAAATGTACATACCACCGTATTTGTTTACAAATTCATACACATTTCCGCTTTCGCGCCTCTTTCAAATACGCATGCGCATAGTTATGAACAAAAGTGGAATAAAAACGTTTACATGATTTCCGTATTGATCAATAATACAGCACACTCTCATTCTAGCTGCCCTCTCCATTTTTTTTTGGGGGGGGGGGGGGGAGACCCGAAAATATCAGATTAAAAAACCGGAGAGGGCTACATTATTGCAGCTATCTCATTCCGGAAAATGCTAGTACACCCAAAACCAATAAAAAATAAAGGTGCATATGTTGAGGAAATTTAACGACATAAAAATTAAGATCCTTATATACTTTAACAAAATTGTTGTGAAAATGAAGCTTTGCCTTAATATATGTACTTTCGTAATGCATATGTAAGTTTCGAAAGTCATTTCAAGTTAAGCAGCTGTTAAGTATGGTGAATTTTTTTTCTTTGAATGTTTAAAGTAGGACAACATTTTATCATTTTTTTCGCTAATGTAACACTTGTTACCTTGTCGTAATAGTCATAATTTTTAATGAAAATTCCATTACTCCAAGCGTTTAGTACATGAAGGGTCTGTAATTTGGTGATGACTTGATGATAGATCCTGAGAAAATAAATCAGACCGTTCAACTTAATTATTAAATGTATCATTAGTGTCTCTAAAGTTTGTTTTTTTTTTTATTTTATTTTTGCAAGACACGATCGAGGGTTACATTCTTTAAATGGTGGACAGAAATTTCGCATTTAACTGTTTAAGAGTAAATCATAGTATACGTATATTTTACCCAATTTGATTTTCTTCACCAAAAGCAATTATTAAACATTGCAACAATATAACAAAACAGACTTTATCGGTAAACAAGTACAGTCAATGTACACAGTCACATGTGTTTTTGGCGACAACTTCAAGCGCTTAAATTGGCATCAAATTTTTAATGATGTCAAAAAAGATGACATTTAAAAGATTTTATTCAAATTAGACATCATAATTTCGAAATTATGAAAACAAATTCCACACACACACACACACACCCTCTCTCTCTCTCTCACACACACACACATACACACACCGTAATATGCTATTAATGATTAAATATATTCCATTGAATAATATATAAAAACTTAAGTAACGTGGCGACAGTATCATATTTTTCAAATTGACTAACTTGAAGGTTGCTGAGAAACTTCATCTTCGACCTAGACAGAAAAGTGTTTGTGCCCAAGAAGCTGGCACAGGTACTAAATGAAAACACAAAATATTCAAGTTTAACAGCTTCATTAACTTTTATAGAACCTGGCGACATCAATTGCACGCTTTCATTGATTTTGATTGAATCAAACAAAAATCAACACAAATATATTGATCAAAATAGTTAGGAATTTCGGTACAAAAAATAAAATGATTCTGGATGTGTACTCTATTTCGATTGATTATCCGGAAGCCCCGATTTAAAAAGAAAGTCCTCCTCTTTGAGACCTTTGACATAGTGGAAAATTTAAACCTCATTGACGAAGTGTCACAGTCATTAATTTAATTTAGGCCATTCCAAGTTTTTTTTTTCTGTTTAGCGTCCACCCATCATTCAAAAACCTACCTATTCGCAAAAAACAAAAAAGCCAAAATATAAAACACAGACTTTATAGTCATAAAAATGACATCATTCAAAGGATTTGATTTCATTAATCAATTAAATGTTTATGACATCATATGGACAGTGGCCGATCAAACAATTTTGGAAGGGGGGGGGGTCAAGGGATAATTTTAAAAACAAATCCCAAACTTGAAAATCCGATTTTGTTGGGCACGGGGGGGGGGGGGTTAAATAGGTTCAGTCTTTCTCACCAAGATTTCTTTTTTTCAAATCAGCCTAGATAAAACGTACCCGAACATTACGTGGGACTAAATTGAAAACGCGCACAAACATAACGGGGTGGGGGGATTTGATTAATTCGTCGCAAATAATAACAGGAACATTTACTTTATTTCACTTACTTTGCACCACTAGATTGAACATAATTTTACATTTGGGATTGGGCAAAAGTTCTAAAAACTTAATACGCGGCCCTTTCCATACATGTGAATTATATCATATGGGTCACAGTTTAAAACGAATAAGCACAAAGGAACACGATAACCAGAGGATCAAACACTCTTTAGGATGCATTATATAACACACAAAACTGAACAGAATTCGCTTTGCGCCACTGAATTTGATAAATGTTTTTATATGTAAACAAATTCTCTCTCACTTTTTTCTTTATGTATTTTAAATAATATATACCTGTGTTATATTATAATAGTTATTTTTCTTATTCCGTCATAAGTCCGGTATGAGTTAAGGTAGTTTGGGATACCTCCATGTTATGACGTAATCTCCGTTAGAAGTATTGCTTTGATTTGGTTTAGTGCTTATTATCGAGCCTTCTTTGTTATTTCATTCAAGAGGTTACCGTAACTGTTTGGTCACAAATCAACTGTTGTATATATGAACATGTTGTAACCTGGTTAGATCCAAAGTGAAAGCAGAGTTATCTAAAGTTTGGGACCTTAAAATCTTTGCATTATATGTAATATGTTTCAAAACATCAAGTAGCCCAAACTTTTAGAATTTTGGTTGCAATAAATTATTGCTCTGAGTTAAAAGAGACACATCTTGAAAAGCGATTTATCATCTGTTGTTTTCAGAACAGTTCAAAGTTGAAAACTTTCACTGCATTTTTTCAAAAGTCTGAAAAAAATTAATGCTCATTATTTCTGAAATAGCACCAGAGTATTTTAACCCTTGGAAAATAACTCTTCCATATAAGAATCTTTTAATAAAAAAAATAAATGCATCTGATATTTTCCATTTCTATATATTTTTCCAATTTGTATATTTCACTTTTTAACATATTTATTTTAACTGTAGATTACCATGGAATGTTATCCGTCTGTTTTCAAAGTTTTTCCAGTTTTCTATGCTTATTTTTTGTTGAAAATTAAACTGAAATACTAAGACTTATTACTTGTCAATTTAACACACTGAAAGATAGGGATATTTCACATCCTACTAATTTATGTAAATAAATATATTGGAGAAGTTTCGTCTGATATCCTTTTTTTTTTTTTTAAACAATTCCTAACATTCACAGTAGGAAGAACGATCGACCCCCTCCCGAATCTAAGCCCAGTTCCGGACTAGCACCTAGGTGTCAAATCCCTTCATAAGGTTAAAAAAAATAGTTATCTCGTTTTTCTGGTACCCTGTCATTATTACTTACACTGTACATTTATTTTTATGGCCTTTTCATGCGATAGAGAATCTGGAATTAGGATCTGGTTTTATTGTAATGATGTACTGGACAAATCGAGTATCTTTTCTTAAATCAGTTTGGTTTAAAATTACTAAAAAATGGAGTACTATAAAATTGTTACTATTTTTTTTTTTATAACACATTACAATCTCGTGGATTCAAGTTCCTAATATTTCAGTCTGATTAAAACCAGCTCCCCTTCTCCTTTCACTCCTGACGAGTGAAAGGAGAAGGGGGGCTGGTTTTAATCAGACTGCTAATATTTTACCTATGGAGAGGGCTTATATAGACAAAACCTGCTGCTTAATCTATTTACGCGTTATTACATAGTAAAATAATGTTCAAATGAGCCAAGTCCATATCCAAAACGTTTCACTACAAATAATTGGAGACAACTCTTGTTTTCTTAAAAGAAAAGTATCGTGAATTATTTTTTAAATATACCTTTAAAATTTAAAACCTCTTAATTTTACAAATATTCTATTTTTTAATTTAACGAGAAATTATTTTTTTACAATTTATATAAAATAATTATTTATTTGAGAAAAAATATTGAAAAAATATTTAGTGATAAAAACAACAATACATACATAACTAAAGTATATGAAATGAGTACAATTAAAACTCCAAGAGGATAAATAAATGAATTCCACTTACAAATAGTCACACGTTTCTTGCAACGAATGTATTAGAAGGTAATCTTTTCAAATATCTCTAGCAGGTGGCAATATGTCGCCCAAAATCAAAAAAATAGAAGTCATGTATTAAGTAATGAGTGAGTTTGAAATTTTTTCAATACCTGATTTCGAGCTTTTGTTGTGTTGTCCTGTGTGTATAATAACATGCGAAAAACAAAACAAAAAAATTAATTCATTATTTGCAGTTGAAGTTAGCAGTAGTTTGAAATTTCGATTCTGTTTTTTTTTTTTTAAATATAAATGGAATTTCAGAATAAATACATGCATATAATCGCTACTATTGTGTTTAACTCATGCACTTTAATTTTGCAAAGAATACCGAAAAGAAGAAATCTATATTGTCGTTGTGTAAAGTGCACTGCATGTCACGACATTACAATGTATTTATAATACAAGTGTATATATAGAACTGAAAACTGGAACCGAGAAGGTACATATTTCATTTGTATCCGGCACCCAAAAGTACAACTTGTTACACGCAGAAACTATTAAATAGTGAAAAGGGGGTATTCCTGTTCCATGTTCTAAATTTTTACTCAAGAAAATGGGAATTAATAAATATCTAGCATCCTAAGCATGTGACGACTGCAAAGGTTCGTGCGCAGGTACTAAAACTATAAATCAGAATATGTTTTCGGATCGAGAAACCGAACATGTAATTCATTTCAGTACAACTTCATTATGAAAACAAAAATAGTACATGTATAATAAATCCACAATTATCATGACCCGGGATTTTATCTGAAATAGTCTTATTTTCAGTTATAGAAATGTTATCAATCGCCACTTTGTGTAACTCGGACGCCTTCCAAATCGATGTAAATACGTATTACGATTTAAATACTTATTAAGTTTCCATTGTTCATCTACGGCTCTAAAATGAACAATTAAAACTCGAGATCTCTTCCTGAACTATAATATAATAATAATATTAATTTCCATGATATAATTTATTTCCACGTGACACCGAATGTTATTCCAATCGAAACGAAGGGCATTTTTTCAGTAGGAAGTTATTCAGAAATGGAGGAAATAGAGAAGACCAATTAAAATATTTACCTCTAAAAATTACATTTTTTATGAAATTTTCTCCATGTTCTGCTTTTTCAAAGCAATTCAGATCATAGCTCTGTGGATCAAAAAAGGTTTCCACTTTAACAATATTTGACTCGTTGTTAAATTAAACTTTTCTTTACATATCAAGTTTTCCCATGCAGAAAAATGTATTATATTATAGTATGTTGCGCATTTAGTGGTGAAGAAATATCAAATACCTTGAATTTTTGTGACACTTGTAAAAAGAAATATATTTAATTAATATATTTGCGCAATTCACAAAGGCATTTTGCATTTTAATACAATTAGAACCATGCTCGGTTTACAAGTTACATATATTTTCAAAAGGGGGGGGGGCACCTCGAAAAAAAAATGACAAGCAAGAAAAGAGAAAACTGCCCAAACTCAAAAATCCTATTTCATATCTGTGTGTGTGTGTGTGTGTGTGTGTGTGTGTGTTTATTGGACCTTTCTCTAACTTTTCGGTACATTTTTTCCCCAAATGCTGCAATTTGCCAGTGTTCAACCTTTCTGCAACAAAAAGTTTGGGGGGGGCATCTAAATGAAAATTTAAATAATAAAACTACAGCAAAAAGACTTTACTCAGAAAAAGTTGACCCGGGCCCTCCCCCCGCACACTACAGGCCTGATAGGTGAGTGCCAAAGACGTCTCATATTGGTCATACTCTATCATTTGCATTATTAATGTTATTATATTCACATTATTTCCATGCCTTAGTATTTCGGATTCAATCACATAACATGCATGTGTATTATTTTTCTTTTTTTAAAGGGGGGGGGGGCTTAATATGTTAATGTTAGTCTTATGTGAAAGCATGTTGCCAGATGTCTCTACCAGACATTGCCCCGCAATAAACGAGATTTTACCGTATCTATAATAGCTCATGCACACTTGTGCATAGCAATAATTTGGGAGTGGCGTTTTCATTCTGTGTGAGAATATTTATAAAAAACGTCGACCTGTATTCTTTGGAGAAGTAATGGCATGGATTTCGAAATATCAATAATCAGATAATGGAAATTTTTCATGAAGTATTATGAATGAATCATGACGTAGATTTTTCAGCCAATCAGATCTAAGGTCAAGGGTCATTTGGTATAATATAGTACTATTCCCAGTATTTACAAACATAGTGTGTGAATCGTTGAGGAAGAAACACGTTAACTGAAATTCTTTCTGAATTATTTATAAACAATAATATTTATCTTCTTATTTCACAAAGGAACTTTTATATAATCAAACAATATAATTTAAGACTTAATCAAAAATCAAGAAATGAGAGATTTAATTGATCCAACAGCGGACCAGGGAGCGGTCGCTCCATCATGCAGCATAACATCGCCAGATGGATCGGAATCGGAATTTATGTTTGAAGACGAAGTTCAAGTCGTTGCTGTGGTGAGTAAACAATGTTTTCTTTCTTTTCTTTTTTTTTTTAAATTTCTTTCTATCAAGGAACAAGTTTTTTAAAATTGCCACCAAAACGAGGAAATCATATATAATCTGTGGTTGGGTTTTCAGATTTCATTATTTGTAATCAAAATTTGTAATTTTCATTTAATTTTTTCCCCAGTATTAGTTTATTTACGATTTTATTATGATTTTTAAATATGTATGGAGATTTGCTCTAGGTAGTCAGGATCGATCGATCTAGTTTAGCTGCTTTAAAACCCACTTGGGGTGACGCAATTGATTATGTTTATATGTTTATTCGAGACAAATACTACATCTTATCAATAAAAAGAATGTCTTACAGGTCAATCCTATATTTTAAAAAGCGGCCCCCATATCCTTCTTAATAAAACGTGGTTTTGCTTGGGATTTAAACTTTTTGCGCCCAAACTCAGGGGTACATAAAAGGGGATACGAGAGATTTAGATCTCATCGCGCCTTTCCTTCCTGCTGACGTTAAACTAAAAGGAAGTAGTCAGAAAATTCTTGGAAACACGTGTATGTGAAAGCTGTAAAACTAAAAAAGAAAAAAAAAATGTTATACCCCCTATAGTTTGGTTTATGATCCCTTTATTTGAATATGTTGAAGATGCTACTATATGCAAGTTGATTGACTTACTAAGACAATAAACATATTGCTCACATTTGTACACGTGTTTAATGCATCTTTTGTTTATGTTTATATACGTATACCAAATTTGACTTGTGCAATTACGAAATCGATATAATGTTTTGGTCAATTATCATCTGTATGATGAAGAACAGAATCGATATACCGTCTGCCTCCGTGCGTCAGAGAGCCAAAAATAGCATCAAATTCTTGAAAGGAAAATGGGAGCGTTTTTGCAAGATACTTCAAATGATCGACATGCTTTCGCGATGCTTTTGGCAAAGGATAAAGCACAATCAATGTTTTTATTCAATTCTATTGTTCTTTGAATGTCAAACAAACGGATGCTGAAAATCATATCGCCCACTAGTGCTAAGCCTTACCGTGGGATGATGTTTTATGAATTCTACTGCTGAGAAATTGCTCTTGAAAAAATTAGGGGTTTCATTAATTTCTTAATTGTACAAACATTTATGAAAACGCCACATTGTGTTAATTGATTCATTATTCATTTTTTAGTACTTCTTAAAAGAAATTAAAAAAAAAGCAGTGTAATTAAACTTATTCACCGTGTTATGAAAGTGCAAATCCCCCAAGGGAGACAACCATTCATTCATACGGAAGCAAGGCCAGAATAATCTGGTTCCATCAAGTTTAACGAGAAATTGTGTGTACTGAAAGGTTTGAGAAGTGAATTTCGTGACGTACATCCTTTATAATGCAGACTTGATCTGGAAAATCGATCGTTTCGTGTTTTTCTAAATAAATACAAAATCAATAGGCTATGGTGATGGTGCAAGTAGATTACCGTTGTCTGGACACCTTTGACTGACTGGTATGAGCCAGGATCTATAATTTTCTTCTTAATACAGTCTGGACCGCAGAACATGTGAATTTGTTCTAGCTATGACTTTGGTTTAGGAATGTTGGGGAATTCTGAGGATATCAAGCTACATCGAGTGGTAATTAAAAGTACCCGTGACGTCACTGATGACATAGCAACTGTCTATCCAATAGTTCTACATTCAAATTCCTTTGAAAAGCCTTTGAAAACAATTAAATTACATGTATTTCTACTTGAATTGTTCAGGACAATGTGTTTGAAAACAATTTATTTCCTTTTCAGTCAATGAGCATCGGTGAGATCCTAAAAACTTGAATAAAATTTTCATTATTATATTTTTTTGTCCTTATGCAGAAAGAGATTGCTGATGGTGACGATTTGAGTCAGAGGAGTACCGAAAGTAGCGAGAGCTCCGGAGATGACCGAGCACAGTGGGGCGGGAAATTAGAATTTCTTCTGACATGTGTCGGTTATGCCGTTGGTTTGGGAAATGTTTGGCGATTTCCATATCTCTGTTACAGAAACGGAGGAGGTAGAACTCCTGTACTTTTTGTCATGTTCATTCAAAATAAGATATAAGACACTTAAAAGAACCAATTACTCATTTACTGTTGTTAAGTTCGTAAAAGCCGTTACTTAGGGCAATGATAGAGTGTTTGCAAATGATTTGCATATCAATTTGATAACCCCACACCTTTAAAGTTCATTCATACCTGAAGAATTCCATTAAATTTTGTAAACAATGTTTTTCAGGTGCATTTCTTATCCCTTACACTATTATGCTGGCGTTGGTGGGATTGCCCCTATTTTATCTTGAAGTCGCCATTGGCCAGTACGCAAGTCTGGGACCTATCTCTGTTTGGAGAATAAACCCTTTGTTCAAAGGTAAATTCAGTGCTTGCATCACCATTTGGTTCAATGATGTCATCAACTACCGGGGTATTTCAATTCTGTGCTTGTTATTTTGAAAATTGTAAATAATTATTTATAACTAAACACTGAATTTTTTGTCTGACAGGTGTTGGATATGCCATGGTAATCGTTTCTTGGTTGATTGGGCTGTATTATAATGTTATTATATCCCATGTTCTGTACTATTTGGTCGCTTCATTCACTTCGGAACTTCCTTGGACTTCATGCAATAACGAGTGGAACACACCCTTCTGCCGAGAATATGATTATAGCAACCAGAAAACGATAGGTATAGATTTATATATAAAACTGGCAAAATTTTAGTGTGCTCAGCCAAGCCAAGAATTAAATTATTACTCATATTACTCTGTTAACTTAGATACAGTGTATATTTAATTATTTATATTGGCAAACTCTCAGATGCGTTTTCTGTTATGTATATTTCACATTCCAATTTGAAAAGGAAAAAAAAAACAAACAAACTTTAAAGCAGATTAAATTTTTATCTTCTTAGTCATCTAGTTCATTTACAGAACTTACTTCTCAGAAACAATGCGCATTGATTTTTTTTCAAACTTAAGAACAGCAGCCAATTTTACTCAATGCTGTGAATAACGTGTTTTCTAAAATAAAATTCCTGTCATGAATCATCTCTGTATAAACTTAGGAACGTTACCAAGGCAACATTCTGTACAAGATTCTTCTCAGAAACCAAAGTTTAGATAGAGCTAAAATGTTTATGCTTTGAGTGATATCTACATGTGTAAACATATTCCTAATTAATGCATAGATGTTCACGACCACCGCATTGAAAGCAATTTCTTGATTATATTGATTCTTGTAAATGAAATATTTATTCGCGTATAACTTTTAGATAAACATGCTGATTAAAGTATTAATCTTTTATACGATTCTGTCAAATTAAGACATTTCTATTTCAATCAGTGCTATATAAAATGATAGAACTATAAAATTTTGACTCCATCCACAAACCGCTTGCATGGTCAAACAGACCAGAACGCTACACAGGTGGTCAATGATCGAGTTCTTTTGGCGCTTCTTTTCCCTGAACGCCTGGCATTCTTTGTCCAGGATGTGTTTTCAATTAAGCCTCCTAAGCATGTCCGCGCGCATCAGGGGGCTCAATAGGGAGTTAAAGATCATGAAATATTCATCAGGTATTATAGCATAATGATTTAAGAGTCACAGCTTTAGAGGTCATACTTTGTTCTTTAGAAAATCAACAATCGGATTGCAAAGGTTACATAAATAATTATTTAGACAAGATTTATCGTATTATTAAGAAAAATCTGAGAAGTTTTACCGGAAGAGATTTACAGGGGTCAGTGACAGGATGTTACAGATCGAATATAAGTTCACGGAAATGGCATTTAAATATTTACACTGTTGGTTTATATACAATAATGATGAACGAGTATTCCCTCATGAAGAATACTGAATATTAAATATTATCGCAACATTATGTTACATGTAGTGAAAATATCAGCTAGGATGCTGAAAAAGATACTTCGATTATCAAGAACATTCCATAATATTACAACTATATTACACGAATATTCAAGGATAACTAAATTTTATTGCATGTTTTAGGAAACAGCACTCAAAACTCGACTTTTGGGGATTTGACGGGTATAGAAAACACCACCACAATCCACCACAGTCTAATTACAACCCCCAGTGAGGAGTATTACAAGTAAGCCCTATGTTTGAGTTTGACCCAAGGGATCCCACACGTGTGTCCTACACATACATATACACATATTTTATGTGTGTGTTATTTATATTTTATTACACTTACCTACACACATCGGCATGCATTTGTACATTTAATCTATGACTTTCTGAGCTTAGTCTCTAGTGAAATTTTATATTAAATTTATAAGCAAATATCAGTGTATAGAGATAATTAAAACAAAGTGATTGTTTTAAAGTATCAATCAGACCTCAAAATTGGACACTAAGTAACCCAGCCTATCAATTGCTGATGTTACGTTTAAAAGGTATATTGATTTTTCAGGACATTAACCTCTGAACTGCCGAATCTTGACCTTGTGTTTATTTTGCTTTTTTGCAGCCGCCACGTCCTTGGAAAATCCTCAGGATTGGATGAGATCGGATCAGTTCAGCCATATCTGGTTTTAACTCTGCTAGCAGCATGGATAATTGTGTACCTAACTCTCTTGAAAGGAATACAATCACTCGGAAAGGTGCGTGTGTTGAGGAAATCAGTATTGATTATTCCCGATGAGTAATTAACCTCAGAACGAGCTCAAAATAAGCATGTTTTCCCTGCCAATGTCCGAGGCAATTTGCCATATGGTCCCATCTCTTCTAACAGAATGTGTCTTCACTCTGAAAAAAACATAATTTAGCATCACCAATCAGTGTATAATGGTTTCCTAGACTCGAGGGTCATTATCTTCTCTCTGAGTGTGTGTTTTTGGCACGAGGTCTTCAGCATCAATGAGAAATCTTACTTGAAACCATGTTCGAAGATTGATTTAGTTCTAAATGCTTCTACCCTTCTTTTATCGCCCAAGCAATATTGGCTGATGGCAATAACATTTTATCTCAATTACTTGTAAAATAACACTCAAATTTCAGAGCAGAAAGTTCACATCATGGTATTAAGTCCATGCACATAGCAATTTTCTAGTCAATAATGTATAAAAAAAAAAAGTATGAGGCTTTTAATCATCTTTTCTATTCAAGTTATGCTTCAATCTTGCAGGTTGTGTATTTCACCGCCATTTTCCCCTACGTCATGCTGGTCGTTCTTATGTTCAGAGGTGTAACACTTCCAGGAGCAGCTGATGGTATAATATACTACCTAAAACCAGACTTTGCAAAGCTTTTGGAACCACGTGTTTGGAGCGACGCCTGTACACAGATCTTTTACTCACTCAGCGCATGCTCAGGGGGACTGATTGCCATGTCTAGTTACAACAAATTCAAAAACAACTGTTATCGTGACGCACTGATTGTTTGCATCATCAACTGTGGTACAAGCGTCTTTGCTGGTTTTGTCATCTTCTCTATTCTGGGTTTCATGGCACAGGAAAAGAATGTACCCGTTTCAGAAGTCGCACAAGGAGGTCAGCACCACATTAGTTAATTCGAAAGAATAAAAACTGTCTTAGGACCATTTATACGTCATTCATACGGTGTTGTTCGTTGACAAATTTAGCTTAGGAAAGTTTGCATAAAATAAAGTACAATAAGATGATGACATTTCATAGTAGAAACTTACTCAAAGTATGGAATGATACATGTATATTTCGTGCATACTTCCCTGAAATCCCTCGATTTTTTCTCTCTTTTTCCATAGCCAAACATCATATAAACAAGACTAAAATTACGGTCATAAGAATAATTTTGAGATTTGTAACTTTGATTCTTTTATTTAATAAGTTAAAAGATAATATGATTAACATGAAACATTAGTACGAATATACAGATTCCAGTTGGTATATAGAATTTTGTTAAAAGCTTTCCTTAATTGCTTCCTATTTTATTCTGCAGGACCTGGACTGGCTTTTATTGTATATCCCGAAGCCTTATCACGTCTTCCAGTCGCGCCTATGTGGGCGGTTCTCTTCTTCATTATGATGGCAACCCTTGGTTTTGGGTCTGAGGTAAAAGATGCAAAAAACCTACTTTCTACAGTATTGAGCGTTTGGTCTCGTAAAGATATTTTTAAAATTCACATATAGGCCTAGTTTATGATAAGCCAGATATACAAACTGAATATTTCTTGAATTCTTAGCATTTGGTTTCATATTAAAAATATCTCAATTTCTTATTTGTTAAATTTCAGTTCTCCATTGTGGAATGTGTACTTAGCGCCCTTACAGACGTATTTCAACAGATTCAGCCCAGAAAAGCCAACATCATATTCCGCACTGTATTTACCGCTTGTAGCTTCTTACTGGGACTTCCGATGGTTTGCAAGGTAATGTGGATTGTTTAACGGAAGAAGGACATCCGCTTTATGTGTGGGTCACTTTAATCGGTGATGACGAAAATTCTACTTTCTTAAGAACTAGGTTTTGATAGTTTATACGTACTTGCTGCAGTACATTTGCTAAAAGGATCTGCTTCAGAACTCAAAAAAAAAATCTTTACGACATAAAACAAACTGAGAAATTTAACAGAGAGTAAATGCATATGAATTAAATGAACCAGCACCTCTTTCCGCATGTTTGAATACAGATTCTTTGTGTAATGCTAGTCACAAAAATCAAATTTTACTAACGTTAAATTCATTACAGGGTGGAATTTATCTGCTGAACTTGGTAGACTTCAGTGTCGGCGGCTTTCCTCTGCTTGTTGTCGGACTCTTTGAATTAATGGCGATCAGCTGGATCTACGGTATAAAACTCTTTTTTAAACCGGTTCTTCTATGAATTAGGCGAATGAAAATAATATTAAACGGTTACTTAAAGAAAGGTTTAGTTCAAAGTGATTAAAGGGATAACATTTTATTTTGCCTTTTCTAGGATATAACAGATTTTCGGACAATATTTATGCCATGCTTGGAAGCAGACCAAAGAAGTATTGGGAAATTTGTTGGAAATTTATATCACTGCTTGTTATAGGTGTAAGTAGGCCTTTGTTGTAAGCTTCTTTTCTCAAACAGAAAATACATTCAAAATTAACAAAATTGTAAAAGAGAATAAAAATATATTTGTGATGTATTAAATTTGTTTTATTTATGTAGGTCACTGTCTTAATGAATATTGTTATGTATTCCGAGCCCGATCTTGACGGACAGACATATCCTGAATGGGCAAAAGCACTTGGCTGGCTAATCGTAATGTTTCCTATTATCGTTATACCCTTGTGGTTCCTGGCCAAGTACTGTAAAGATGGAGGATGGAAGGTAAATATAACACCCCCAAACTTTCAAAGATCTAAGGAAAGTCTTAAATAATACAATCTCAGTAAAAAAAAAAAAATTAAAACTTCTTTTTATTGATGTTTCCTTTTTTTCTTGTTACTCAGTTATTACGTGAAGGTGTCAAACCATTGAAGTCTTGGGGACCCTCAGAAGCTAACAAGAAATTTGAGTATAGAGACAATGGTGTGTCCTACAAGTCCGACCGTAGCGCTTTCGCTCATCTGATGAGCAGCAATATATCCAATATGACTACCAATACAACGTTATCAGACTTTCCTCATTTCAGTTCTTCCAATGTTCTCAACGGCCCAAATATGGCGTGACCATTGAATGATGATAGAAACAAAAACTTTTAAGTCTGTGATGCTTATTTTATTTTTGTTCTGGTGTGTAGCTGTCTTAATGTAATAACCATTGTCACACGCGTCACATGTACCATCTGACATTTTTAGAAACATGGCTTAGTAGAGTGTTGTAGTGCGAATGAAACATAAGATAGAGATGAAAGGAATGAATGATTACAGGAGCCAAGATAGTCAGTTTTGAGTTTCCCTGGGATTAATTTTCTTGCAGCAAAAAAGAAGACATGTTCCAAATCTTGTCGAAGTTTGTTGAACCAAGAGATACGAGACTACATATATCCATGGGTATTTGGATATAAGTTGTATATTTTGGTCCTCAATCCGAAACTCTGAAAATATACACCAGATATCTTGCAATGACGTCATATGATATACACATATCACCATCAAACAAATATCGTCTTGATTTATGATTCATGTGTCATCGAGGTTACGCATCTTCAGTTAATTTATGATTCATGTATCATGGAGGTTACAAATCCTCTTTCACTAAATTATCTCACTTATTTTTTTTAGTTGTACATATCGAACAATATTTTTTTAGTCAATGTATTGTTTTATCTCCAACAGTGTTCAGTGTAGTATAGCAAGAGACCCGCTTGTACAACCAATGATTCTTATAAATGTCTCATTGTCTATGGTTGGCTACTTATACTTTTTTTTTGGATCTCAGCACAGTGGTAGAACGAGACTTGTAGTACGTTTTTTCTGTCAGTGTATAACATGTCCATGCTTTATTTCTAAATTCGATTCCCAAGAACTTTTGTCAGGGACGTGACTATATTGTTACTTTATTTAGGCATCATGTTTACGGGAACCGAATAAATTTATTTTTCTAGTCTATAATGGATAATTTTTATCGCTGAATCTTTTTAACTGTATGGCTTACCTATGTATGGCAATGTTGCTTTTTGTTCCTTAGTCTTGTTAGTGGCAGCTTACTCAGGGAATATTGATTTTTAAGGTATTAAGCCCTACGCCTCACAAAGTTAGATAACTCATACCCTTGTCTTTCATTCCTTTTAATTTCTGCTATATTTATAAATAATGCTTTTGGGGTTTTTTTTTCAATCAGTGAAAAAATAGCGTTTAATTCTTTTTTAAATGAGACAAATTAAATTCGTTACTTTCATTTAATTTGATTACTTATTTTGTTTATAAATTAATCAATTTAATTTTAGTTCAAGAGAGTTATCAAAATTGTGAAGCGTTATTATGTGGGGCAATATCTACCAATCCGTATTCTGTAATATTCTTTTATACATGTAGATTTATTTATTTTATCAAGTTCTTTTTAAATATAGAATTTAATTCATAAAACATGAATTTGTTCATATTTACATTCATGAAAAATTTCCAGTACCTTTGTATTGCGTACTTTTTATTTTTTCGAAGAATATTTTTTTTACGTACGTGAGTTGTTTTGTTCTTCAGGAAAAAAAAACCTGCTATTATATCCTTATCATTTTTACTGCATTTTCCTTCATTTCGATTTATATTGAATCTCAAAAGTTTAAAATATTATTAATTCAAATATTTCAAAGCTGTTGAATGCGAACTCTTTTTCAGTAGGTGATGAATCTATTTATAAATTGATACATTCTCAAGGTCAGAATCTGTATCATTTTCAAAAAAAAAATTGTTCTTTTTTCCTACTTAGAACAATTGTTTAAATGCCATCTACATTTTCCTCCTTGTTATTCATATTTCCCCTTTTACACTAGTTAAAGCTGAATCTCTTCGTTTATCCAATGCATTTAAAGAGTGTTTAATCGAGTGATGTGTTCAGTAATATAAAATGAAGGTATTTTACATTTACCTGATTGCAAACATTTTGAAATAATTTTGATAGTAGCTTTTGTTATTTGCCTTAGGCATGATTCGTGGAGATTTTTGAAATGTTAAAAAAAGATAAAATAAATAAAAATAGTAAAATTTGAAAAAATGTGTTGAATTTTTCTCACATAATTTGAAGTTTGATTACGTATAGGATTTGCAGGTACTTGTGACTAGAACTGCTGTAAATGCCTATACACCTGATCGTTCAAAAAATGAAATGCCCAAGTTAAGACAGTATTTGCATTATTATACCCCACGCAACAAGTTGCGGGGGGTATAATGTTTTTGACCCGTCCGTCAGTCAGTCAGTCAGTCAGTCAGTGTGTCAGTCAGTCAGTCCGTCAGTCCTGTTTTTTTGTCAGCGCAACTCCTCATAAACCGCTGCACAGAATTTCGTCAAACTTTGCAGGTATTTAGGACACAATGAGTAGATGTGCATATTACCAGGAAATTCCGATTCCTTTATTTTTTCTGGGAATTTCGGCACTTTTCAACTTAGATTTTTGGCCATATCTTGAATAAAGAGAGGAACAGTTTGTCAGCGCAACTCCTCATATACCGCTGCACAGAATTTGGTTAAACTTTGCAGATATTTAGCACACAATGTGTAGATGTGCATATTACCAGGAAATTCCGATTCCTTTATTTTTTTCTGGGAATTTCGGCACTTTTCAACTTAGATTTTTGGCCATATCTTGAATGAAGAGAGGAACAGTTTGTCAGCGCAACTCCTCTTAAACCGCTGCACAGAATTTGGTTAAACTTTGCAGATATTTAGAACACAATGTGTAGATGTGCATATTACCAGGAAATTCCGATTCCTTTATTTTTTCTGGGAATTTCGGCACTTTTCAACTTAGATTTTTGGCCATATCTTGAATAAAGAGAGGAACAGTTTGTCAGCACAACTCCTCATATACCGCTGCACAGAATTTGGTTAAACTTTGCAGATATTTAGCACACAATGTGTAGATGTGCATATTACCAGGAAATTCCGATTCCTTTATTTTTTTCTGGGAATTTCGGCACTTTTCAACTTAGATTTTTGGCCATATCTTGAATATAGAGAGGAACAGTTTGTCAGCGCAACTCCTCTTAAACCGCTGCACAGAATTTGGTTAAACTTTGCAGATATTGAGTACACAGTGTGGAGATGTGCATATTACCAGGAAATTCCGATTCCTTTATTTTTTCTGGGAATTTCGGCACTTTTCAACTTAGATTTTTGGCCATATCTTGAATGAAGAGAGGAGCAGTTTGTCAGCGCAACTCCTCTTAAACCACTGCACAGAATTTGGTCAAACTTTGCAGATATTTAGTACACAGTGTGGAGATGTGCATATTACCAGGAAATTCTGATTCCTTTATTTTTCTTGGAATTTCGGCACTTTTCAACTTAGATTTTTGGCCATATCTTGAATATAGAGATGAACAGTTTGTCAGCGCAACTCCTCTTAAACCACTGCACAGAATTTGGTCAAATTTTGCAGATATTTAGTACACAGTGTAGAGATGTGCATATTACCAGGAAATTCCGATTCCTTTATTTTTCTGGGAATTTCGGCATTTTTCAACTTAGATTTTTGGCCATATCTTGAATATAGAGATGAACAGTTTGTTAGTGCAACACAAGAACTTGGATAGTTCTCAACCCCCCCCCCCCTCAAATTGGTGCTTTGCCTTAAATAATTTCATAAGTACAGTATATAAACAAATTCATATGACTACATCATAATTTTGTTTCCATCAATTATTTAAATGTGTAAATTGTCATGTGTTGGACATGGACTTACACTCATTAACAAATCGAAATCACTGAGGAATTTAAATAACAGTTTGTCAGCATAACTCCAGCACTGAATTTCCTGAAACTTTGTAGGTATTTCAGACATAATGTATCGATTTGTATATTACCAAGAAATTTTGATTCCATTATTTATCTAGAAACTTCAGCCCAATTAAATTTGTAATATACAAAGATTTGAATGTCCTTATTCATGTATGCAAGAAGTTTTGATGTGATGATTTTTTGCAAGTAATGCCCCTTTTTGAATTATTATACTGTGTATTTAAAACATGTTGCATTGTTGAGTTTTGGGGGAGCGTGGGGTATGTGAGCTTGCTCACTTTTTCTTTCATTATATTCTAATGTCAAGTCCGAGTTGAAGTAATGGATACTTTTGATTGATTGATTGTATGTTGTTTTACGTCCCATTCGAGAATTTTTCACTCATTTTGAGACGTCTGGATATTTCTGAATTTCAGAATTGGGCCTGGTGGAAAACCTTAAACCTGAGTACTCACGCAAAAGTAGAGGTCAAACGCAGCATCCAAAACTTGAATGTTCATAAACGGTATATACATATACACAACAGGTCTATCATGAACTAAATGAAGAATATTTACATCCAATGAATATTTTCTCCTTTATTTCTTATCAAAAAAAAAAACTTTTAATTAATCCATTAAGGCTATACCTGTTAGAAATTTTTTTTCAAGGCAACCTGAATGAAAGATTTCTAAAGCAGCTCTTCTATGAATAAACCGTACATTGACATGCAGATCAATAATCCAATATTTCACATACTTAATCCTATACTTTATACAATTATTTATACAGACGTAAATATAAACATTTAACATATATAGAATGTCTCTCCTTTTGCTAATACGGGATTAAAAGCTAGCTGCAACCATTGCAGAAAAAATTACATACTAGCAAACCGATTAAGCGGAATTTGAAATGATCGACCCTTTCTGGCCCACAAGGGGGTGCCATGAGCTTAAATCAAAAGTACAATTAAAGAAAGAGTCAATCGCAAAAGAATTGGTTTGTTACTGTCTTGGAATTTGATGAGATCCGATAAAGAGAAAGTGCGACAAATAGACGAACTGACGGCATAAAGTAAACAGAAATACATTTGTATTATGCTTAAATTTTCATTTGAAAGAGTGTGAATAATACAAAGACATATGAGATAAAATCATGGATTCTAAGAATCACTTAAACTGTACAATTATTTTTAATACGATAATTTAGGTACTCGAGGAACAGTAGACACCAAGGTCGCGTGTTGCAGTAGGCACGAAAAAGTGGTAACTAGTAGTCACCACCTTTTCGTGCCTACTGCAACACGGGACCTCGGCCTCGGTTTCTACGAT